GCTCTCAGCCTGGGACCACCTTTTTGGAGAACATTCTCCTGTCTGACTCAGGTGCCCCCTCTGGCTCCTGAAACCTCTGTTTTGTCTCCATCATCACACTCATTGCCCTGAGCGGAGACCTGCTGCTTGTTGGTCTGAGCCTCCCTCTGGACTCGGAGCTCCTTAAGCATCAAGACTATTCATCTTTGTATCTTTAGCACCGAGCAGCGGGCCTGGTCTAAAGTGGGGAATGAGCGGAACAAAAACATCTATTGGTAATGAAAACATCTTCCAACTATTGTCCATCAATTTCTAATTAAGCAGGGCACTGATTTATCTTGCCTCGCGGGAGCCTCACAGCAGTGCCAGGAGAGTGATGAGTTGTCCACATTTTCCAGGTGAGGCTAATGCTTTGGTTGTTGTTGGTGGTGGGGTCTGCTGGGGTCATTCAGGGGGAGATCTGCTGACTCAGAACTCAGACTCTTGTCTGAACCCAAAAGCCGTATATTGTCCTGTCCTTAAGACGGTAATACCCGGACCTGGCTGAGACCCATTATGGGTGATATAGAAACATATTCATTCCTTGAACAAAAAAGACAGAGAGAAAAGGAGGGAGGAAGGAAAGGAGAAAGAGAGAGGAAGAGAAAGGAAAGTGACCATAAACGTTGGATGAAACAAGAAGCTGCACTATATAATTATGGTCTAAACAGAAATCGCTCCAAAACATAGCATGATTTTAAGAGGTTGATGGAGTATAGTAAAAGAGATGCTGTTTGATCTTGAGGCTGCAAAGAGTCCTCTTTGAATGCCCACGGTTTGTATCACAGAGAGCAAAATTGGGACCCATAATTCTACCCCACGCCTCGTCCTATGAACAATATATATGAAGTCTTTAGCTGGTAAGTGACGTTAACTGGTGCTCAGTTGTGGCAAGTACCCTGGGGAACAAAGCACGCAAGGCTTAGGCTGCAGGACAAATGAATCTAAGAGCATGGACAGCAAAAAAGAAGAGATGGTATGAGGATGCAAACATGCTCATCATTTAAGAACCAAGCCAGGGGTTGCTGGAAAATTGATGGAATAAGGAAAATATATTGTTTAGATTGACAAAAGTATGCAAAAGGAGAAATAAGAATCACACTGTGATTGAGCTTTCGGAGGGAAGTGAGGAGGGGCTGCGCCGGGGGCAGGGTGGGGTGGGTGGGGGAAGTGAGCTAAATCTTCATTCATCTTTCTCAGCAGGAAATCAGCAGTCCTAGTATGAAGTTGATAATCTCAAATGAAAACCAACTCACACTGCCAGGAGTAACCAGGGCGGCGCGGGTGGGGGAGCTGAGGCGAGTGGGCCCGAGGGAAGATGAAGACTGCAAGGAAGAAGCTGGGCAAATGGGGTTATGACAGATGGAGGGGCTGAGGGAGGGAATTCCTTGGGCACAGAATTGAGATGTAGATCTACAGCCCTACCTGAGACCTCTGTGTTCTCGAAAGTTTGGGAAGAGGAATGTGTTTTTCCCACGCTTCTCGCGGGACGTTCGCGTGCTCAGACCTGCGGTGGATCAATTGCCCAACAGCCTTGCTTGGCTGGGAGGAGCTGTCCCTTCTCCCCAGCTCTGGCGGGGACTCGGAGTCCCCGAGTGCAGGGGCTGGGGACTGGGGGACTTGCAGCCCTCTGACAACTTCCCTTTGAGAACATCACTTGCCTCACTCCCCTCTGTCTTTCTGGGTTGCTTCCAGCTAGGGAGGAAGCTGACTCAGGCTAATGCCAGGCTGAGGATGAATTTCTTCACTTCCTTTCCC